GTGTTTAGGGACGCAAAAAACCTTTGAGCATATTCGGGTTTTATATACATGTTGGTCATTTCTCCAATTAAGTTTTTTGTATATGTAAATATTCTGGATTCTTTGTATTTATTATGCCGAATAGCAAAGAAGCATAAAAAAGTTTGAGACGCCCCTGCATTTTTAATATATTCGAGGCATTAAGATATGATGTAACATGAGTTCGTCTCGGTATGTAAAAACAATAGCGAGCACAAGCATTCTGTACCCTCTGGATTAATTTTTGTGATTTTTTAAGCAAACAAGGTCCATAAACACTTATACAATAACTTAATTTAGCTAAAACTAGGGTTTCACAAAGCTTTACACGTAAATTAACTGTGATAAATGGTCTAAATCTATATAGAACTTTTAACCTGTAAAAGCAGTTTTGTACCAAATTAATCACATGATTTTCAAACCTCAAATTGCTGTCAAAAAGAATGCCTAAATTTCGTGCATCATGAACTTGTGCAATTTTCTCTCCATTAACATGTATATCATGTTCAGTTATAGCTATATCATGTACCTGCTTTTTAGTGCCAATTATAAGGAATTTTGACTTTGAAGGATTAAGAACCATGGAGTTATTTTTTTATTTTTTTATTTTGTTAATAATGGATTCCATTATTTTGGAGAACAAGGAGGTGATCGCGATAGGCCTATAGTTGGACGGGTCTGAGCGGTTGCCTTTTTTAGGGATCGGGTGGACAAAAACTGTGTTCCATGAATTCGGGACTACGCCTTGGGAGTAGGAGTACCGGAAAAGACGCGTTAGGACCGGTGCCAACTCCAGAGCACACGTCCTCAGCACAATTGGGGGGATTCCGTCAGGCCCACTCGACTTCTGGATGTCCAGGGAGATAAGTGTTTTGCGAAGCGAGCGCTGTGAGAACAGCACATCCGACATGGAGCACTCACACCGCGGGATGGTCGGCGGTGTTTTCCCCCCGTCATCAAGAGTCGAGTTGGACGCAAAAAGGGAGCCTAAAAGGTCGGCTTTGTCTTTTGCGTCTTTGGCCAGTGAGTCGTCCTCCCTGTGCAGAGATGGTAGTGATGGCTTACAGAAATTCCCTTGGACAGCCTTGGCGATAGACCAGAATGCACGGGTTTCCGAAGGAAGGCGAACTAGTTTCTCGCCAATTCTGCCTATTTGCTCTGACTTTGCCTTGGCAATAACTCTTTTGAAGGACCTGGAGGCGTAGTTATACTTCTTTTTAAGTGTGCTGGTGTTTACATCCCGAGTCGCCGAAGCCGCAGCCCAGGCTTGGATAACACTCCTGCTTACTGCGTAATGCAGTCTTACAGGAGCGACCAAACCAAGGCTGAGATCTGCCTCCGATGGGTACCACAGATGATGGAATAAATAGTTCTATTCCCTGTAGCACCACATCAGTGACAGAGTCAGCAGCAGCGCTAGGATCATCCGGCGAGAAGCAAACCCGCCCCCGTGGGTAGAATGCAAAGAAAGACCGCATTCCGTCCCAATCCGCCGACCTGTAATGCCAAACACGGCGGCAAATTGCAGAATGCAACCGCGAAGGGAGCGTGAGTGGCACCATACTCCGGATCAGACTATGGTCCGAAGAGCCGAGAGGGGCATCGACGGAAACCTGATATCCGTCCGGATGAGAGGTCAGCAGAAGGTCCAACAGGGAAGGTGTATGATCCTCCACATCTGGAATCCGTGTAGGCGAAGTAACCAGTTGTGTCAGACCATATGCCAAGGCAAAGTCATAAACAGATCTCCCCGCAAGATCGGTTAAACGTGAACCGAGCCATTCGGCATGGTGGGCGTTAAAATCGCCAAGGATCACGATCTCTGCGGATGGGACCTGTTGTAGTAAGGAATCTGAAGCCATTTGGACGTGGTCGATGAGTCGGTCTGTTTCGGCATTACCGCTATGGGACCTATAGAGGCCTCGGTCAGAAAGAGCAAGACCGGCTTCGCTGTCTCGAGAAGGTTCGAGTGAAGGCCCCTGATGTTGCAGGAATTCACGGATAGCGTGGCAGGGGTCGCCTTGGTATTGTTGCTCAGTTGACCCCGAGCAGTTATGTTTTGAGCGGAATTTTGTTCCCCCCCCCCGGAATACGCGGGGCAGCCTGAGCACCCACGCTCAGGATTCGAATAACATGGTCGTGGATGCTCAGCGAGGGATTCTCCAGAGGTACTGGTACCCTCCTGAGATAGTCTATCGTGTAATTCCGCTACCATGTTGATGGGGGGGGGGGGGATTGGGCCTCCGGCCACCTGCACTCACCAGACGAAACGCAGAAACAGAGCCTCTACTTCACGCCGATATTCTGTGAGGTCGTGGTACCGACCCGGCTCGTGCCGGCCCATACGTGCAACAGCAAAAACTGCTGCGTGGCTCTACCACCGTTTGAATTGGCGATATAAGCGAATGCTTCGAAGCGATACAACTGCGAACTAAAGTGATCAGTAGTACAATTGTGTTTTATTATTAGTGTGGTTTAAGTTGTAATTAGTGCTCTGTAATTAAAGTGTTAATTTTCGTAATTCACTCGGCAGTTTTTAATTGTCTCGAACCGCAAGCTCGTAACAATACTCTATCATACCCTTACATACTTTTATTTATTTAATTCATACTTATTTCACTACCTCTAAAGGCAGGCTCAGCCTATGCAGTGCAAGAATTCTCGTACCTTTCATCGCGTCTGCGTGCCGCATAAACGGCAATAATTATAGCGTCATCTATCTGACAATGTGACCTTTCTGGCCTTTCCCACAGACACCTCGTATGACACTAATACACTGGGATAATGCCGCAGATACTCTTATGCCATGAAAAGGCAAATTATTAGAACATTATTCATTATTGTTACAGCTTATCAAAAGTCCACTGGTGAACATACACTTCTCACATAGATTGTCTCATAATAGTATTTCAATTTATTTCCGTAATTGGTAGGCAGGTTGGTGACTATAGACTTTTAATATTTTGAGTTGTCACCAGGAAGATGCTTTTGTCCATTTGTTTTGATTCCCTCTATTGCCGCTTACAGCAGCCACAGGATCATATGGAGTAGTGTTTACTCTTTCTTTGTTTTTAAACTACATACTTAATTATAATTAAAAAAAAATTACTTTACAACTCTTTCCTAGTCCCATGAATCATATATGAATATTTTAATTGTTTAACTATGTGACGGACAGAGAAACTGTCAACACAAGGTACATATATATGTGTTTAAAGCAAACACTGATTTATGTAGGGTGAAAGAATTAGAGATACAAATGTAATATTTCAAATAATTATACTTATCAAAAGTAACATAAAAACAATCATAATTAACACTATAGTTCCAAGTGTTCACTAAAAATAAAATCAGAAAAGATGGTTGTGAAAAATCAGAAATAATTGAACATGGCTTTAAAACAAGTGAAATTTTTGAAAATTGTGGTTTTTTTTTTAAATTAATATACCTCTTTTTTTTCTTCATATTCTTACATTGGCATCTGATTCTGAGCTATTTTCAAAATTTCTAGTCTCGTATCAAGTAAGTTAGTTTAAAATCAATTATTAAATTCGAACTGAACAGACATACACAAAAATGGTAGAAAATTACACTAATTAAAAAGAAGTAAAAACTTACATTTCTTATTCATTATCTATATTTGCATAAATATATATGGTGGTTAATGTGTGGCATTTAGAAGAAACTTTATTAAATAAAAAAATATCTTCTATAAATTATTACAGACTTAATGTAAGACTGATATTAAGTTTAACATTCTATTTGCCAATGCTTACAGCATCTATCTTAAAAGTAAAGTTAATCTTATTATTATAACATTTCTAAACAACTACAAGTATCTTACTTTAAACACAGCCAAATTAACATACACAGTCCCTTAATATAAGTCAATGAAAAATGATCTCTTGTTCCAAATGATTGAGAATAATTGAGAATCTATACAATTGCAAACAAAAGATATTTAAATCAAAAATTTGGTATGGGCCTCAGATTATTTACAGGTTACAAATAATATTGTGTATGATTAACACCAGATGGGTTGACAATCTGGTAAGACATGCAAAAGTCGATGGATGCAGGTGGCTTAGGACCATGCTTTGTGACATTTTTTGGGGAGACCTATGTTCAGCAGTGGACTTGTGTTTCACTGTAATAAAGATAATGATTAGCAATATAGAAATTAATTTACAATTCTTTATAATAAACATTACTAGATATGGTTGTAAGGCACTCGTAATTACCTCTAAACAGTCACAGTCTGACATGACGTTTATTATTACATGGATTGTCTAAGATTTTATTTATATATTTGTGATAAATTGTTTGCCTAAGAAATTAGTGTGTTAAATTGAAATTGAAAATAAAACTAAGTGATTTATTACTATTATATTTGTGACATGAAATCACAAAATTCTTCTATAGTTTTTTTAATCTGGACATATTCATATTTAAAGTAATATTCTAAATGTAGCTAAATAAATAGTGAGTGTGTTATTTCAGCTGAACAATAATTTATTCAAAGGTAATTATTACAAAATGTAAAAAAAACTCTTCAATAATTTCGTAAGGCAGCTACAAAGTAGCAAAAGGTAATAAAGCTACTGTATCAGTCTCCATTGCTGTAATGGATTTACTACTACTAATCCCTCCTTCCTTCCTTTAAAACAACATCATGATTATTCATGTATTTATTAAACTGGGATTCTGTCATAAACAACTTATTATCTACAAAAGTATGTAAAATTAACACATCAATTTTTCATATATTATATCATGGCTACATGCTAAAGTAGGGTGGCACCTAGGTTTAGCTGGCTACTACTAGATGCAGCCAATTGTGGTTGGATACAAAACTTGCAAATATCAATTTATTTGCAAGTTTTGAGTTAAAAATAGCTATAAACTGCAAAATAAATAATATGACTAATAGATTCACAAATCAATGAACTTACTTAAAGCTTTTAATGTGAACTAGTGAATGTTTACTTGCTTTTGTTATAAAATGTCTCCATAGATTCCAATTCCTCAATAGTGTAATTCAAAATTTTATCAAAACCTTGATAATGGAAACGTCCATAAAACAGTTTACCCTGCAGCATGTATGGAAACCACAAACTATCATCTGGCCACATGGCATGAAACGGTATCTTATCACAGTCAAACCACTTTGGAATCATTTCTTCAGTTTCTGTCGGTGTTCCTTCAAAAATACTGGACGAGAAGACTCTTACATCCATCATCGTAGAATCACCTTCGAATGTAAATTCTAAATGACCAATGTTCTTTAAATCGGTTGTTTTGCACATCAAACAAGATTCCTCTCTCAATTCGCGAACCGCTGCTTCCATAACGGATTCATTGAGCTCTACTTTACCACCAAACCCGTTCCATTTGTTTTGACCGAAACCTCGCTTTTTTAAACCTAAAAGTATTTGATTATCTTGTCGTATAAAAATCAGGGTAAATATTTTTTTTAAAAACATTTCAGAAGTGTAATAATAAACCGTTAGGCTTTTTTCAATTTCAGTTTTGAATTTAATTTATGTTTACGATGATATTGATGCAAATTACTAGTTTTTTAATAGACGAAAACTTAGTTTCATAAATATTTGTTGTATTTGTATTTGTATGTTACATAGTCAACTCAATTGTCAAAGTCACAGATTACTGTATACCAGGTCAAAGTCAAATAATGCGCTATTTTGCGATGCGTTCGAAAATTTGTAATCGCATGCAAATGTTGATATTATAATTATTCTTTACAACAGGCTTTACGGCTCTGGGTTCTAGCCATTCTGAGCCTGTAGTAACAATGTATAATTATTATCCTTAAGTCCACTGCTTCACAATATTATGTTGATGCGTCAAATTGTGCAGCAATTGAGAGATTTTGACGGCGACTTGAGTCAGCAGATAGTTGGCGATGTTATTTCAAGGCGCATTAGCAGATAGACACCTTATCTTAAGAAATATATCACCATCAGAGCAGTTCTTTCACCGTTTCCACTAATAGTTCACATGCGCAGACATTTAGTACACAAAATCGTACCATTTTTACATATCAAAATCCACTTCAAACCATTATTTAAACAATAATACAGGAGCAGCAAACCGCCACCGGTCAAGTTTCCGCCAAAACTCGTTTGTATTATTATAAAATCACTTAGCAAAGAGTATATAATCACCACAAATTATAAAGTTGTAATAATCAGTACGTTTTAATGGATGGATGAAATAAGCATTGCTTTAAATAAATTCTTGATTTTAGTCCTAAATCACTATAAAAATTTTCCTTTTTTTAAACTTCATTTTTTTTTCACCATAAATTTTTTCTAACACAAATTTTAACCAAAAATAAACACATCATGACATGGACGACGTCTTGAAAATATACTTGTGAAATGTGCAATTATCTGAATTATTTCTATTATTAACACCACAGTCGCTAATAAAACAAGTAACCATTTTGTAAAAAAAGTTAGTTACTAAAAATAACCACTATTACACTAAAAAATTACAAAATATCTAGGAGCTATTTCTTGCGTGCCGACTTTTGCCGACCTGTCATTCAAAATCGGTTACAGAGTCATGAAATTTGGTACCTATCCTTTTCTAACTTGCATTTTTGCCATAAGGAATTTTCTTTTCCCTTGCACACTATGTCGGTCTATACACCAGTATAATCTAAGTACTTACTTTTACTTTACTTACTTATCTTCACGCACAATCCCTGACGGGGTAGCCAGAGAGAACAGATCGCCAAGTGTCACGATCCTTACATACCTCTTTCGCTTCTTTCAGATTCATTATCTTCTTCATACATGCACGTCTTCATACATCCAAGTACTCTTGACCCTCCCCTCTTCGAACAATTTGCTCACATGGTCTTCGAAAGTTAGTCTCGGTCTACCTCGACACTTTTTAATATTTACTTCCACGCTATATATTTTCTTCACCATTCGGCCTTCACTTACTTACTTTAATGTCACCCAATTTCACACCCAGACATCTTTCAGCTTCTGTAAACAGCTGTCGAGATACAGTATGAACAGCCAGGAAGACACGACACAACCCTGTTTTACGCCCGTTTGGACGCTAAACATGGGTGACAGGTCATGCCCTACCCGCACACAGGCTTTACAGTCATAGTAAAGTGACTGCACAGCTCTTAGCAATCGACCATCTACACCATACCCCGGCAACAGTTCCCACATTTTCTTCCTTACAACTTTATCAAATGCTTTCTCAAGATCCACAAAAGCACAGAAAATCTTCTGGTTAGCAGCCAGAAGCTTCTCCGTGATCATGCGGAGAGAAAACATTTGATCCGTGCATCCTCTTCCAGGTCTAAATCCGCATTGTGCCTCCTATAGAAATCTTTCCGATTTCTCTTGCATCCTACGTATCAAAACCTTCGAGTAAACTTAACTTGCTAAACTGGTCAAGCTGATCGCCCGATAGCACCCGCAGTCAAAATGTGAACCTTTACCTTTATATGAAGGCACAATGACTGCGGATCGCCAATCATCCGGGACATCCCCCGTCCGCCAGCACAAATTGCACAGCAGATGAAAGCTGTCCCAGACGCGAGGCCCACCATACTTAACCATTTCAGCAGTAACTCTGTCTAGTCCCGCAGCCTTACCACATTTCAAACTTCGAATCGCACGTTAAATCTCTTTCATACTGATGACCTCAGTGTCATCGAGGTCCGGGTCTGGCGTACCAGTCACGGCGTCACCCCCGGATCCCTCACTAAGATTATCACATGCATACATTTCTCTATAAAATTCGCTCCATCGCTGCATGACGTCCGATTTTTCTGAGAGGACGTCATTGGTTCTCGAAAGCACTTTGTTCATTCTTAAGGCCGTCGCACCACTTCGGGTCCTTCCAACCTCTTTCCAGAAGAGTTTGGAGTTCTCCTTAAAGTTATGCGACAACCTCTCCTCCGCTTTTATTCTACACCTTTCACGCACTTCCTCAATCAATGTTTTCGTTCATTCTTTCTTTCATCTTCTCTCTCATATCCTTATCATTACTAGAGGCCAAGTAGTTTAACCATGCTTTCTTCTTCTTCTTTACAGGTTATTTCACTTCATCATTCCACCATGCATCTCTTCTTTTACTACTACCTCTTTTTCTCGTTCCACACACTTCTTCCGCTGCACTTACCATTCCATCCCTAAGGTTCTGCCATTTTCTTTCCACACATTCCTTTCTGCCATTTTACACAAAAAAATGTATGACGTGTACCAGAATAACCCGAGTAGATTTTGGCTAGTTCATTGCGCAGATCGCTTACTTTGAGTAGGCATTCAGTTGGCTGTTTAATACAAGTTAATAAACCTCAGAGATCAAAACTCACGCAGGTTATAGACATTATACTTCTATTCTATTTTTTATGTCTACAGTATATTTTTTCTTTTATGGTGGACGCGTTTCACATACACGTACTTATATAATAACCATGCAAAAACATCCAGACTCAATACAAAATTTAACGTTTTTATTTGCAAGAGATTGTGCATTCTCATATTAATTGTCCAGAGTAAATAAGACAAATTTTCTTTAATATAATTTTTCACCATAAAAATATGAAACCAGCCCTTAAAATAATTTAAAATTAAAAATTTTGTACAGCCGACTTCTATATAAATTATTAAGAATAACTCAAAAACTATTAGTCTGACCTTGATCAAATTCATATGGGACCACACGAGAAGTATCAGCTTTCATATAAAAAAATAATCATCGGAATAGGTTCACCCAGTAAAAAGTTATCAAGTAACACACATTAAAAAAAAAAACAAAAAAAACATGCAGTCGAATTGAGTACCGTCTCCTTTTTGGAAGTCGGCAGATAAAACGTGTTGTACAAACTGTAACACCTTATTTAATCCTCTGAGGGTTTGAACATTTCAAAATCCTATCTTAGTTAAGTACGTTATGTAGTCAGTAATAAAAGGGAGCTATATTGTCACAATTTCATGCTTCTAAATCCGGCGCAGCAGTTTGAGCTGTGCTTCATACCAATATTTTTCATATATAACTTGCAACTTCGTTTTAAAAGTGGTTAAATTTTGGAAAACAAAAAAAAATATTTTATTATTTTAATTCAATACATTTAATCCGCCTTGTACATGTTCCTCTTAATTCATACATCTCCTATATTATATAAATAAATAAAATTGTAGTGTCTGTTTGTAATGTCAGACAGCCTTTTACTAAATTCATATGAAAGTATATATGGTACTTATAACAAGAATACAATTTTTAAAATTTTTGTCTGTCTGTCTGTCTGCTTGTTTCGGCTAATCTCCGAACGGTCGGAACGGAACGATTTTAACTGGCAGATAGCTGATGTTATAAGGACTAACTTAAGCTACTTATAGATATTTTAGAAAAAGAATTAACAAACTCGCGGGCGAATTCGCTAGTAACAGTTAACAGCTAGTATTTCATGTAATTTTAAGACTAAAGAGGAATGCCTAGTTTCCAGTCAAACTGTTTACAACATACTTTTAATTTTAGAACATTGTATAACTACTGTCTGTTTGTGTACCTTATCCAATAAAATAAATTTAAAAAAAATATTTGTGCAGTTCACACGCGGTAGAAGTGAACCCAATTGAAATTAAATATAATAAAAAAATATTTCACTTCAAATTATTTGTTTAATATGATCATTTTTAACCGACAACCAACAAGTGCGACATTAAATATAAGATAAATGTTTAATTTTATAGCAAATAAAAGTTACAATCCTAACTTTTAGACTTAATTTTAGTGTAATGAATCAAAAGAATATTTTCTTTCTGGTAATTGCTTTGTTATAACACTAACGCCATCTACTTCATTCTATAGATAAAATAATTTTATCGAACAAAAATTGATTGACTCTCAAAGTGGTACATAATGCCTCATCCACACGCTTGGCAAACAACGGCAAACAGCATACACCAAACAGCAATCACGAACGTGTGGATGGTTGTTCGCCTGTTTGTTTGTTTCTTTGTATGTGATTGCCAGTGATCGGCGTTGGTGTCGGTTTTTATGCACCGATCAAAGGCTGTTCGACAAACGTGTTTGCGATGTATCCACATGTTAGCGATCAGTTAGTAGCACGCGCGAGCTTGCGGCTTGCGGGCGGCGGAAGGAGTTACTAGTGGCTATTATTATTATACTCTACGCCAATTTTACCAATCTGAAATTTGTCTCGGAGGTAAATATGATTTCAGAAGTTGAGTTTCGTACCAATTCTAGTTCGATAAGTTAGTAGATCTACCACCTATATTTTTTTAAGTTTTCTAGAGACCTCCCAATAATAATGTGATTTACTCCTAATTAATGTTTCTGTTGGGTAACAAATATTTCACTTCTCATTTCTTTTTTTATAAAGAGCCACGTGTGAAAGCAGGATCATTGATCATCAATTCCCAAAATAAAATCCGAAAAAATTATATAAGATCAGTATATCCTA